GCCAAGGCCTTGGCCTGGCATGCTGCTGGCCTTGGCCTTGATATGGCATGCTGCTGGCTTTGGCTGGCTGCCTTGGCCGTGGCATGGGAGGCTGCTGGCCTAGGCCTTTGCATGCTGCTGGCCTAGGCCTTGGCATGGCGTGCTAGAAGCCAGACGAACGTGCGAGAACATTCAGAGAAGCCGAGCAAGCACCGGTTAGCGCGACTGCAGGTAGCAAAGGCAACGTGCAAAACTTTCGAGGGACATACTTTTCGCAACGAGCTTCCACTTGGAAAGCATAGGCAGTTCGTTCGCAAGTCAAAGCCAACAAAATGGCAAATACCCGACGGACATGCTTTTCGCAAGGCAGCTTCCACTGGGGAAGCGCAGGCAACAAGCTTGTAGGCAAGTCAAAGCCAACCGGATGGCTACCAACCGAGGGACATAAATTTTCGCAAGGAGCTTCCACTAGGAGAGCGCAGGCAACTCGTAGGCAAGTCAAAGCCAACCGAACGGCAATTAACCGAGGGACATAGCTTTTCGCAAGGACCTTTTCCACTAGAGAAAGCGCGGGCAACCTGTAGGAATCCCGCGGATGATGAAGAGGAATGCACCAGTGGAGTTCACTGCACAGGCAAGGATCCATCCAACTCGCACAAACCAAACACAACTCACACGCCACGACGTACACTACGCACCAGCCGCCCGAAACGAATCACACCCCGAAGGACTAAGAAGCCAGACAAACGTGCCAGAACATTCAGAGAAGCCGAGCAAGCACCGGTTAGCGCGACTGCAGGTAACAAAGGCAACGTGCAAAACTTCCGAGGTACATACTTTTTGCGACAACCTTCCACTGGGAACGCGCAAGCAGGTTGTTCGTAAGTCAAGGCCACCCAAATGGCAATTACCCGAGGGACACGCTTTTCGCAAGGCACCTTAAGCTAGGAAAGCGCAGGCAACTCGAAGGCGAATCGAAGACAACCTAAAGGGCATTTACCCGAGGGACATGGAGGAATGCACCAGTGGAGTTCGCTGTACAGGCAGGGATCCGTCCAACTCGCACAAACCAAACACAACTCACGCGCCACAACGTACACTATGCACCAGCCCCCCAAACGAGTCACCCCCCGAAGGGCTAAGAAGCCCGACGAACGTACGAGAACATTTAGAGAAGCCGAGCAAGCACTGGTTAGCGTGAATGCAAATAACAAACGCAGCTGGCAACTTTCAAGGGATATACTTTTCAAAACAAGCTTCCACTAGGAAAGCATAGGCAACTCGTTCGAACGTCAAAGCCAACCAAATGGAAATTACCTGAGGGACACGCTTTTCGCAAGGCACCTTCCACTG